CCAGACCATCTCCTTCTGCTTGCTCCTGAACACTCAGATTGAACTTCAAGAATTAGGAAGAAACACACTATCCACCAAATGACTAGAAATCACCTCAGGGCCACAAGAAATATGGGCAAGCAAGGAAATACCTCTCCTCCAAGGGAAAAGAATAATTCCTCTACATCCACAGACAGTACAATGGGACTCATGGAAGTGTCTGATTAAGAATTTAGAATATTCATAATAATGAAGCTAACAGAGATGGAAGAGAAGAGAGACAATGAACTGCAGAAGAGGCAGGAGAAAGGAGCTGACAAGTTCCAAGAGGTGAAGAAATTCTTGCAAGATCTAAAAGAATAATTACACACTTTTAAAAAGAATCAAATGGGCCTGTTAGAGATGAAGGCTATAAAACAGGAAGTCAAAATCTCCCTTGAAAGTATTAAAAGCAGACTAGATCATACAGAAAATAGAATCTCAGACATAGAAGAGAAAATTGCTGGTCTAGAAAATTCCACCACGAAGACAGAGAAAATTGCCCCCAAAAATGAGAATAATATATGAGAAATACTAGATACCATCAAATGTCCAAACATCCATTTAATTGGTATTCCAGAAGGCGAAGAGACTCACAAGGCCATTGATAATCTATTTCATGAAATCCTACAAGAAAACTTTCCAAACCTAGAGAGGCACTCAAAGATCCCAAGAAATACAAAGGACTCCAGATAGAATCAGTGCAAGATCTTCTCCAAGACACATTATAGCCATATTGACCAAAACCACAAAGACAAGATACTAAGAATGGCAAGAGAAAAACAGCAAGTTACCTATAAAGGATATCCCATCAGGCTAACAGCAGACCTTTCATCAAAAACAATGCAAGCAAGAAAAGAATGGGAAAATATATTCAAAGTATTAAGGGATAAGCAATTTCTACCAAGAATACTGTACCCGGAAAGATTATCTTTCATATGGGAAGAAAAGACAAAAACATTCTCAGATAAACAAAACCTGAAAGAATTTACCAACACTGGACCAGATCTCCACGAAGTTCTCAAGGGAGTGCTACATCAGGAAAATTAAATACAGACACACAGAAATAAGAGTACAAAAAGTAAGAAAATGGCCAACTTAATCGTAGGAACAAGTCTGGAGTTGAATATTATATCCCAGAATTTAATCAGGAAGATCAAACCACACAGCAGAAGATAGATTAAGTACATGAGAATGAACTGGTGAAATAGCATTTTTTGACTTTTGACTGGGACATTGCTGATTTTTTTCTAGGCTTTGTTTCCCGGTTTTAAGGATTTTTTCCTGTCTTCACCTATCAATAGGTTCATGTACCTACTATTTTAACAGAACCCTAACCTGTTTCCTGGCTTTAAGTTTTAAGCAAAGTCCCTTAGAATTTCTTTGATTTATTAAAGTTAAAACTGCTTTTCTTGAAATTACCAGCTGAACTTGCTATTGAAAGTAGTTAGATTATATAAGAAATTGTGTGATCAATAAAATATGGGGAGAAAAGGAATGGAAAACAACTGTAGACACCAGGGATAGTATGGGAGGAGGGTGGGAAAAGGCAGAGGGTCAGAAATAGGGGTAAAAAAATACACACACACACATACACACATATATGAAACTAGAAATGGAAAATTATTGACGATAACATGCATGATTAAGCCACTATGCAGTATATTCTGGATGGGAAATCACATTTTGTATACTGTGACGATGATTAATTTATTAATTTAATTAATTAATTTTAAAAAGGTTTGGGGAACCAGCAGTTAGCGCAATGGCTATGTCACTGGACTCCCACGTAGTCGACCACGGTTCGCGTCCCGGACCCGGTGGCTTAAAACTCACGCCGGGTGCGTGTGCGCGCGTGCCCCAAGATCCCGAGAGGAGAAGGAATTGCGGCGTGACCATCCCCCCTGGGGGGTGATTTCTCGCTTTCTGTCTCTATGTCTCTCTCTGTCTGTCTGGCGAGCGCACGCACCCTATAGCGAAAACCTCTCAAAAAAAAAAAAGTTTCAAAAATTTCATGGAAATATGTGTAATGAGAAAACTACATATGAATTTCAAAAAGGTTTTGTACCAAAAAAGAAAAAAGGAAGAAAGCTAAACTGCTTATGTGGAAACTTCCCACAGAACAGGTGGATGCAAACGAAAAAAGGGAGAAGAAAGTAAGTGAAACAGACCAGGCACGCTGGCCACTGTTGCCCACGTACAAGCAATGCAACGTGCCCATGCAGTTCAGTGGTTTTGCCAAACGGAGCACTCCTTCGTTTGCCCCTCGGCCAGCATTGCTCAGCCGAGGAGGTGATGCTAAGACTTGTGCTGGAAATCAAAACTTTCTATTTGCCCAGATGGACATGTTATAAAAAGCACTGAGATAGAGAGAGACCTCAGAAGAGAGAAAATCTGTGCATATCAGGGCCTTGCTGGTTCTTCCCATTCCTTAGATGAGGAGCCCTGGAAATTGCATAGCCAACACTGGGCTCAGCATATGGAGATGGGAGATGGTCAGTGATAGTTTCCAGACAATGGGGACGAAGGCTGGGGATCCCAGCCTGTGACTGCAGTTAGGGGTCTGAGTTCCTGGCGAGGGTCAGCTCTCACCTCAGACTCAGCATCTGAGTGAAGACTCAGACTTCCCAGCCAACCTGTTCACAGTGTAGGTGACAAGGAACAGAGATCAGGAAGGAAAAGGCCACCATGCTGGCCAGCAATTGGCCATGGCCTCAGCATGCTTGCTTCTCCAAGTCCTGGCTTCCCCCAGATCTGTGCATAGCCTCCCACCCCAGGACGGGAGCAAGCTGATGGGGAAGTGGTTTGTAAACTCGGGTGTGCATGGGGCGCTCAGGAGGGCCTAGTCACCGTAGCCAGTGTCCTGGAGAGCTTGCATTGGCCACTTAGAGTACTGGACTGACCAGAACTCTGCAGGGGGTGGGTGAGCCACACAGTATGTGGATGTCCCAGGAAGTCATGTTGGGGGGCCCCATCGCCACAAGAGAACATTCTGGGCTGGAACATCAAATGTCTGGCAGCATGACCTGAAGACCCCAGGGAAACTCTGAAGGGCTCTATATCCCAAACCAGAGGCAATAGGCCAGCAGTGACAGGAGTAAAAGTTGTACCAGGGTGGGGCCCATGGCTGCCGCTGGGGTCTCCAGGGTCCCTTCTCTTGTACAGCCCTCCAGGCAGGAGGATCAAGGAAATGCCCCAGAGCAGAACGGCATGTAGCCCAGTCAGCAGTCCTGTCCCCGCCCCATGGCACCCCGCTCACTTGGCACAGGAGGGACCCTTCTGGGAAGAGGCCTTCCAGGTGCCACCCGACACACCCGGCCCCTGTGCAGCCCAGCCTTCCTCAGCCAGGTGCCCTACATTCTCTGCAAAGAGTCTACAGCTTGTAGACACAAGACAGCCCCTTCCTGACTTTGAAAGCTTAGAAACCACCCAAAAGCACCAAAAGAGAAATGAAACACCCTCTGAGGTAGTCCCCTGTTGCTGGCTACCTGCCTTCTTTAGTTTTATTCCCTATGTGACTTCGCACAAATTGAGAATGTGTCACCCTTTGCCTCTACAGAGCCCTTCCACTGCCAAACCTGTGGCAGCTCCTGTTTCCTCCTTCTTCTGCCCTTACTTTTCTCCTCATACTAAACATGCTTTACTTGCAAAAGGGGAGGAAATGGTCCTCTCGACTAACAGTTTTTTTTTTTTTACTTTAAAAACCATCCTGCTGGGGGAACCAGCAGTTAGCGTAATGGCTATGTCGCTGGACTCCCACGTAGTCGACCGCGGTTCGTGTCCCGGACCCGGTGGCTTAAAACTCACGCCGGGCGCGTGTGCGTGCGTGCCCAAGATCCCGAGAGGAGAATGGAGGAGAAGGGAT